AAAAAAAAAAAAAAATACCTAAATTCACACCTTCTCTGAAATGAAATAGTCCGAAGGTTGCTACTTGGCTATTGCTACTGCTGAAGATATACCTCCTAGTCTTCACAATTTAGATGGAAAAAAACTGTTTTCAATAACCGAGATTTAAACTCAGAATACATTTCCCTCATTAAAATGAGTCATAAATGGTAGCTGGCTATACGTGCATGCAATATTTTGCATTTAACACTGTTATATAAATATCCTGGTAAAACAGAATGTCTGTATTTGGAATAAAAAAACGTATTCAGGGTTTTAAAAACTTACACAGGCATACACTAATAAAAGGCTTATATTCAGTCAATTATTTATTGAACTTCTGCTTCAAGCACTAAAACAGATACTAAGAATTTAACAATCAATCTCTATTTTCATGGAGTTTACAGTCCTTATACTTAACATCTTTTAATAATCATTCAGTAATCGATTAGTAAATACATTTCAATGCCAGGGTATTTTGTTACTCTATCTGGGTAAAATAAATATAAATGTGACAAGGTTCCTATCCTCAAGAAGCTCATAATCCAGCAGTGGAATGATGGTAAAGTACGATGCACAATCAGTATTTCTGACTGGCTTTTTTCTTTATTAGAAATAGAAAAAATAATGTGGATCATATTTTCAAAGTACAACTGAAGCAGCAGATATTATAGAAATCTGGTATATTCCAAGGACTTAATTTTTATCTTTTTTTGCCAACTTATCCCCCTGCTTCTTTCCAATACAAGTTTACTGGGGACAAAACTAAACATATTATATAGCCTCTTTTTTTTTATCAAGTTTGTTAAAAAAGATTGTAAAAGGGCTTAAAACAATTTAACCTGCATATACAGCATTCTAATCTCATCTTACCTGTGTTGTGATACGTATCTACCCATCCCCCATCACCATCATCTTCTTCAATGATAGCTTCCAATTCATCTGAATATTCCATCTGCTTGCACCGCTTGTAACATGGCACTATAAAAAAGTGGCAAGTGCGGTTACTAGCACGTAATCTGCTACCCACAGGTGCATTAGATAAAAGAGAACGTTTGTTCTTCATAGTTACATTCTATAAAGATATAGTATTTGTATCATCAATATATTCTGTATTAGTGTATTTTACTTGTGGGAGCTCTGGTGGCGTAGTTCCTAAGGCATTTGACTGCTAACTGGAAAGCTGCAGGTTCAAACCCACCAGCCACTCCTTGACAAGAAGATTAAGCAATCTACCTCTGTAGAGATACTACCTCGGAAACCCAGGTAGAATCGACTCGACGGCAGTGAGTTTGGTTTGGTTTGGTTTATATTTTACTTAGAATGACAGTGATTAATTTAAGAGTTATATTCAGCCCATACACATTTAATTACTCAGACACATTAATCTTTCTCTAAATAGCTTTGTCAGAACATAAGAGAAAGTATTCTACTGAGAGGGCTCCATCTATTCCTTTACCCACATGGTCTGTGAAGAAGAGCAGGCTGAAGCCAGAGGTGACATTGCTCAGCTTCAGGCTTATGATTAATAACACTTTATTTTAATGGTTTTACTCCCAGAACATGGTGGCACCACCTGCCATACTCAAGGGTGGTAGAGGTGACCTCCAATTTGCAAGGCTTAAGAATTTTCTATATGAACTTCACAACTCATATTTAAGTTCCAGTTATTCACAAATTGATAAACATCTTAACATCTACTAAACTGCTGAATGGTATTCCTCATGTAATACTGATACCAAGTTTTTCATATAGCAGATGCATAAATTAACAGGTATTATTATGATATATAAGCCTAAAATCAAGAAATTAGAGGGTAAAAGCACCATGATATAGGGTCAACAAATCTTATAGAATTTTTTTTTTTTTTTTTAACAAAGTAAGGTATAACAATTATCAATCCTAAGAAAAAAATATGCTATGTTGTTGTTGTTGTTGTTGTTATGTGCCGTCGAGTCGGCCCCGACTCATAGCGACCCTTCCTTGGGTTTCCAAGGCAGTATCACTACGGAAGTAGGATTGCCCAACCTTCCTTCCGAGGAGTGGCTGGTGGGTTTGAACCGCCAGCCTTCTGGTTAGCAGTCAAGTGCTTTAGCCACTATGCTACCAGAGCTCCATAGGAAAAGAAAAATTTACATTGAATTTGAACAGAAATCAATATATCTTGGTGATTAAATAGGGATTATAGAAACATTTTGATCTTGCTTTCAAATTAAGTTCATAAAAAAAGTACTGCCTTGCATCAGCGACAGATACTTACTAGTCATTCTGTGACTGTATGAGAAAGTAAAGGACCTATAAGTTCAATTAATAACATTTTCATTAAAACAAAAACTCCGGATGCCCATCAGTGAAAAATTAGTCTCTATGAAGAAATATGAAGTTGTTCCAAAAAGTCTCAGTTATGTGAATATGATGGTGTGTAAAAAATATTTGGGTTAGCTAATAACTCTCCTCTCCATTTCTCTGCCTAATATGGAGGCATGAAAACCTTCAAACAGATGAAAAAATTTGCAGAACAGTATGATTGGGACTTAATTATGACATTATTGACACACTTTTATTCTTGAAGACTGCAATTAAAGAATTAAATGATAGTTCATTTTAAATTTTTCCTGATTACTTAAAAGTTCTTTTATTTTTAATCTTTGTTGAACTTTTTATAATACTTTATTAATTTTATCTGCCAATAATTTGTATTAAAACTATAAAATATAATTCTTATATTTTATATATTCATTGTAGTGCTTATGCTTTGAGTATGGTTATATGTATTCAAGGTATATTGAGTGCTTGTTGTTTGTTATGTGCCGTCGAGTCAGACCTGACTCATAGCGACCCCTCCTCGGGTTTCCGAGGCAGTATCACTACGGAAGTAGATTGCCCCATCTTCCTTCCGAGGAGTGGCTGGTGGGTTTGAACCACCAGCCTGCTGGTTAGCAGTCAAGTGCCTTAGCCACTACGCTACCACAGCTCCCTTATTGAGTGCTTAGTGTAAGTGAATTTAAATAATTTAATTAATACTGAGCACTTTTTAATAAAATAGAGGCATCAAGTGCCAAAAAAAAAAAAATAATAATAATAATACTGCCTGTTTCAAACACATTCTTTGTGCCTATAAGCAAACTTTCCATGATACAATGATAATAAAATCTCTAGGCTGGAGAATTTAGATACCAAACAAAAAATCCCACCAAACCTACTACCATCAAGTTGATAAGTTCTGACTTATCGTGACCCCCTTTGGGTTTCCAAGGCAGTAAATCTTTACGAAAGTAGATTGCCCCATCTTCCTTCCATAGAGCGGCTAGTGGGTTTGAACTGCCAACCTTCTGGTTACCAGTCAAACGCCTTAGGCACTGCGTGACCACAGCTCCTTTTAGATACCAAAAGTAGCATAAATTTTATTTTCCATGAAAAATTTAAATGTAAAGAAAATTAAAAATTATGACATTAACCTCAAAAAAAGTCCAATCAGATAAAGCCCAACTCTGTGCTTTCAGTTTTTATTCTTACAATTAAATTAAACAATTCGATCTTTTGGCAGAAAAAAAGGAGATAGTCAATTAAGTAAACGGATTTAAAAAATGTTCCAGCAATAGAAAATGTAGGGCTTCATTAAATTTCCAAATATTCATCTTAGAGAATCTGTAAGCACAGCTCTAAGTACACTTAAGCACAAATTAAGACTAGTAAGTATTATGGTATTTGTTACTCCGCCCCCCTGCAAATATAACTCTGTGGAAAATTTTCTAATATATACCACATAATTCTTACCGTTTTTGGTTACCAAAAATTGTTTGCCTGTTGGTAAGTATGCCTTCACTTTCAATTCTTCCCCTGTAGCCCTTTGAAAACAATGCAAAGCACCAAAAACTAAGTAAGTATACATAGTTAGAAGGCAAATAAGCAACAAAAAATATCCCATATAAATCTTAAAATCCAGGACAGCATTCTTCAAAAAACAAAGCTCAGAAGGCAGGAAGGGGCAGGAAAGAAATAGGAAACACGGAGAGAAAGTGGGAAGAGTGCTCTTACATGGAAGGGATTACACTATTTCACGAAACAAAATGTCTATAAATTGTTAAATGGAAAACTAATTTGCTCTGTAAACTTTCACCCAAATCATATAAAAATGTTCAAAAACAATAACAACGGAAAATTACACAATCCATAACCCCTATAAAAACTGTTTTAGTACTGCTATTGTTGTGATGTGCCATCCAGTCAGATCCGACTCATAGCGACTCCTCCTTGGATTTCCGAGGTGCTGTCACTACGGAAGTAGACTGCCCAACCTTCCTTCCTAGGAGTGGCTGGTGGGTTTGAACCTTGAGGTTTCTGGTTAGCAGTCAAGTGCCTTAGGCACTATGCTACCAGAGCTCCTTGTTTTAGTACTAGATGCCATTAACTGAGTGACTACAAGGTCTATATGGGCTCCAAACTTGCATATTAAAAAGAAATATATTGAGAGATGCAGATAGACTTAGAGAATTTGTATTAAATATTAAATAAGGTAGAACGATATAAACAACGATAATGGTTGTTTTTAAATAAAGAAAATACTATTCCCTAAGTGAACTGTAGCCCACTGTGTAAATCTTATCATATTTTTAATCCTAAAATAATGCTATCTTGAGATCAAGAAGAGGAAGGAAAAAACCTTCATGACATTATATAACCAAGTCGGTTGTTGGCAAGATTCTATTCCTACTGCTGTATTAAAGTCAGAACTAAGGGATAAGAGATGTTTTGAATCATAAAATGATAATGTTGAGAATAATAATGATTAAAAATGAACTTTTATTGAATACTTACAAATTACAAGATTTGACCTTTAATATGCATTATATTCATCTAATCCTCATGATCGTAAAGTAAGTAATATTAATATCACCATTTTATACTAAGTGAACTAAAGCTGTTGATTTAACAGATTCTTACCTGTGTCTCATTGACTATGCAAAGGCATTTGACTATGTGGACAATAACAAATTATGAATAACTGCAAAAGTGCAAATTACAGAACACTTCATTGTGCTCATGTGGATCCTGTACACAGACCAAGAGGCAGTTGTTTGAACAGAACAAGGGGATATTGCATGATTTAAAATCAGGAAAGTTGAGTATTAATTTGAGTGAAAGGAAAGGCAATGTACAATCAGGGAGAGGTCAGCACAAAATGATTAAGGCAAAGGAAGACACTAGGAGGAGCACACATGTTAAAGGCAATAAAGGTAAATACTATTATATACACAACCCAGCAATAACAGTGGTAATAATCTATGTATGTATACACAGATAGACACACAAGCTGAACAGAGTGAGGTGAATGGGGCTACACCCATGAATATATATAGGTTTGACAGAGGATATTTCTATATACGTATTCATATGTACTGCAAATATATCCATGAATATATGGACGGCAAAGTTACGAAAACTTTGTGGCCATAACCAAATACCTTGAGGGAATGAGTCATGGGCCCTGAGGTCTCAAGACCATAGTTCTGGGGACACTAAAGTCAATTGTCATAAGAAAGACCACAAAGACAATGTTCTACAGCCTACATTTTTTTGTGACTGGGATCTTAAAAGCTTATGAACAGCCATCAAAGGGGCAACTATTGCCCTTATCTCATCCAGCGCAAAGAAGAGCGAAGAAAATCAAACACACAAAGAAACAATTAGTCCAAAAGACTAATGAACCGTATGAACCATGGCTCACCTGGCCCTGAAACAAGAATTAGACTGTGCCCAGTTGACCTCTGAAAAGGATCACAACAAAAGGTCCCCTTTACAGTACATGAAAAATGTGGAACAAAACTCAGAACCACAAAAAAGACCAGGCTTACTAGTCTGATAGAGAATGGTAGAAACCCTAAGCCTATGGTCCTTAGATACTATTCAAGTCTGGAAACGAACTCACCTCCATGGCTCAACCTTCAGTCAAATGACAGGCCTATAAGGTGAACAATAATACCAGGGAGTGTATGCACTTGTTAGACGCTCCAACCATATATGAGATCAAAAGGGCAGCACTTGCCCAGAGATAAAGTTGGGAAGGAAGAAAAGAATAGGAAAAAGGGACAAAATAAATAGTAAAATAGGGAGGAAGTGAGAAAAATTGCTGTTACATTGTGGGGATTGCAATCAATGTCACCAAACAAAATTGTGTATGAATTGTTGAATGGAAAACCAATTTACCCAAATAACAACTTAAAATCAAAGAACAGGGTATAAATTTCAGTATTAAAACAAACAAACAAACAGGCTTACGATAACTACGTAATCATCCCCATATTTATCATTTCATAAATTATTTTCCACTTCTATAGTTCCTAGAAAAAAATTTCAAAAATGTTTCTGTATGCTTTCTTAAGGCCAAAGGGAGAGAAAGGTGGAGAATCTACAGGTAATTTTTTTTGCAACTCCTGAAAAGAATCCCAAATATAAAAAAATAAAATTAAGAAAGGTGAGCATCAGGTTTGTACCCTTTCACCATTCTTGTTGGATCTGTACACTGAACAAATAATCCCAGAAGCTGGACTACATGAAGAAGAATGCAACATCAGGACACAACCTTACTTACTGCAAGTGAAGAGGAGTTGAAGCACTTTTCTGCTGAAGATCAAAGAATAATATAGCCTTCAGTATGGATTACATCTCAACATAAAGAAAACAAAAATTCTTACAACTGAGAAGCAACATTATGATAAACAGAGAAAATACTGAAGTTGTCAAGGATTTCATCTTGCTTGGTTCCACAATCAATGCCCATGGAAGCAGCAGTTAAGAAATCAAACAGCATATTGCACCAGGCAAATGTGCTGCAGAAGACCTCTTTAAAGTGTTAAAAAAACAAAGATGTCACTTTGAAGACTAAGGTGTGCCTGATCAAACTCAAGGTATCTTCAATAGCCTCACACACATGTGAAAGTCAGAATAATGAATAAGGCAGGGTGTGGTAGTTCAGCTTATATATCAAGTTGGCTTGGCCTGCTTTGAGTGGTGGTGCAGCTGGATGTAGTTATTCCCCATGATGAGACTGGTAATCAATTCCATGGTAGAATCTACTGTGAGCAGCTGAGTCCTGCCTTAGGGATGTGGTTGGTTTCCAGGATGTGAGGGGAAGCTTAAGAAAGGTCTCTGAGCTTCTTGGAACATCTAGATCCTGCATTTGGCCTAGTCATCAGTGGTCTGTCATGTTGTCTGCTGATCTTAGGGCTGTTTAACCAGTGGATTGTTGTGTTGCTTGATAATCTTGGGATTGTGCCACTTTACTTGTCAACTTTGGGTTTGTCAGCCTCAAGAGCCATCAGCTGCCTGAGTTAAGAGAAGCCTCCAGCTTCAGTGGGCTGGGAGCAAGAGGCAGAATTGAAGCCCAAGGTCAAGGAGGCCTTCACCCAGACCCTAGAGCTAGCTCTCTGAATTTTGACTTCTAGCCTCCTGAACTGTTAGAGAATAAATCCCTGTTTGTTAAAGCTATACACTGGTGGTATGTCTGTTATAGCAGCACTAGAGAACCAAAACAAAGGCCAAAGAACTGATGCCTCTGAATTAGTGTTGGCAAAGAATATTACCATGGAATGCCAGAAAACAAACAAATCTGTCTTGGAAGAAGTATAGCTAGTATACTCCTTAAAAGCAAGGATGGTGAGACTTCATCTCAAGTACTGTAGATACGTTATTAGGATGGACCAGTTCCTGGAAGGACATCATGCTTGGTGAAGTAGATGGTCAGTGAAAAAAAGAAACATCTTCAACAAAATGGGTGACATGGTAGTTGCAACAGTGGGCTCAAGCATGGTAATGATCGTGAGGATGGTCTAAGACTGGGCAATGTTTCATTCTGTTATACACAGGGTCACTGTGAGTCGGAAGCAACTTGATTGCACCTAACACAAAAAAATAAAAGCTTAAGCAGGTCAAATTGCCCACTGTCACCAAACCAGAAGGTGGAACAGGATCATGCCAAAAGACTCCAAGGTTCCTGCTTTGGAGCACTACTCCCCTCTGTAGGTCAGAGCCCATTATAACCCTTCCAATTTTTATAGGATACACTAAAATCCCTCAGGAAGAATTCATTCAAAGATTTTTCTGTGGGTTATTTATTGGAACCTGCTAGAGCTAGGATGGCATCTGGTGGCAGTCAGAAATATATAAGCATAAATCTGGAACTCCGGTGCCCTTTTAAACTTCAGACCATAAGTTTTTAAGCACAAGATAAAACCAGGAAGTACTCCAATATCATTTGGCAGCCCTCTTGCCTTCTCAAGACCATTCCCAAGTATCAGATTCAACAAGATCATGGCAAATGCCACAAGTACTGAGAGAAGAACACTCCATGGGATTCTCGGAGTTTGTACATAGGAAGGTATAGCATTGCAATAACCTATTTCTAGAACTAATTTAAAATATATTATTCCTTTAGACCTAGAAACCCCAGAAGTATAGACATTGGAGTAGGATATAATTGAGTCTTCAATTACAGTATTATTTCAACCCTCACAATTGATAAAGAGGAACCATAAACCACCAATATCTGCTAAAAGAAAAAGATCCTCCCCATAAATACAAACCCCTATAATAATGCCATAAATCAATACCTAAACTAATTAAGGGCTATAGCAAAAAAACATGAATAAAGAAACAAATCTATCATGTTGAAGAAAATCGTAAATTAGTTCTTTTTACAAAATGAATATGCTAAGTTTTATAACCTGTTGAAATATATCTAAATTACAGATCAAAACTTAGTAAACACATTATTAACATAGTTAAGAAAGAGGATGAAAAAAGTCAACCAACCTCACTAAACCAGAGAGCTTCTATGGCATGAATTCAATTTTAAATATGGAACAGAAATGCAATATGGGGGCAATAAAAGGATGTGAAAATAAATGAACCTAACTTTTGGCTGTTATTGAATCCATAAAAACCAATACCCTAGAAAATGCAAAGCAATTGATATAAAGCAGTGAGAACGGTCTTGGGTATATGTTAAATATAAAAACTAAGGAAAATAAAATAGACTATAAGGGGAAAAGAACACCAATTCTGGTTTAAAATATTTTAATTACTTATTGTTGTTGTTATGTGCCGTCGAGTCGGACCCGTCCTTGGGTTTCCGAGGCAGTATCACCACAGAAGTAGATAGCCCAACCTTCCTTCTGAGGAGTGGCTGGTGGGTTTGAACCACCAGCCTCTGGTTAGCAGTCAAGTGCCTTAGGCACTAGGTTACCAGAGCTCCTTTAATTACTTAAGTGCTCTAAGAGATAGCTATCTAAAAACATTATCAATTAGAACCTCAATTCTAGGATCTCTGCCCCTAAAAAGTTCACGACAGGGAGGGGAGTATGTAACAAAGACTGAAGCACCTGTATCCAAATAAAGTGATTACGCCAACAATTCTAACCTAATTAAGAGTGCTGTCAGTATTGGGATCTCTTTTCAGTAATTGTCAGGCAATTTTATCCTAAGTATCTGAAAGCAATGAAACCATATTTCTTTTAAAACACTGTTATTATTCAAAATATTTTAAAATACGTGTTGTAAGAACTGCTAACTTATTTCAATTACTTCTGTAATAACAACAAAAAAAGTTAATGAAGAAAATAAAAACTTCAAGTTTTTTATAAGCAGGTTTACAGTTAAGACTTTAATAATCGTGACCCTTTTAATTTTGGAGCTAATTCCTAATTAAAGACATTGCTTTTGATTTGCAATTGAAAATGTTCATGTCTTATGTTTTAAAGAATGTAAGCCTCTGGGAATCTCTCTCCAATTATTAGTGACAGTTTATGCAGGGTCTAGCAGTTTAAAAATATTCAATAAATATTGCCAATTTGAAAAAAACGAGCTGATCAAATTTATTAATCTTCCGAACATTATTTTTTAAAGAACCACCAAAGATCAGGCCTAGACACTGGAAAGAAAAGAAATACCAATAAAGGAAGTTAAGGGATTTATCTCAAAAACATCCATCTTTTTTGCTAACAGACCAAAACAAAATAATATCCACTTTTTCCACCCTTATTTTACTTTAGGATCACGAGGGCACTATTTAATATAAAAATCTAACAAAAGAGGGTGAAACTGATCATTTTAACGTTCATTCACCAATCCTAACTGCCATAATTTTGAACAAATAGCTTTTTACCTAATTTTTTATTCTTCACTGAAACTTACTTACCATTGCCATGTTGGACAGTGGTGGACTAAGTGATCTCCAGCTGCCACAAACTACTCAGGATTTAGAAACAATATGAAGAGAGAAAAAGAAAAATTAAGTATCATTGAATGTAGAGTGATAAAATACCTAAGTGATCACCCTGCATAATTTTGGTATCAGACATAAAATTAAAATGCAAATAGCACTAGACCTTCTCTACTTGTCTGAAAACTTATTTTTGATTACTATTAAGACTACAACTTTTTAACATCCATAAAAATTCAAATAAACTTGGGAAGGAAAAAACACTGACTGCTATTATTTAAAACTCCAATTCTCATCATTCAGTTAAATAATGCTAAAGCACACAGTATCATTAAATGAATAAAGGAAAGGCAACAGGATTTAAAATGTCAATAACCATTTCAAGGATAAGTAAAAAATAAAAACAGTTTTTGCTACTGGTTGAAAACTGAATAAAAACCTCGGAAGAAAGTTGCTAAATATATACCAGCCTATGCTGTAAAACTAGTTTATTACATCACAGAGCACGCTGCTTCTTCCTCCTTTTTTCCCCCCTTAATTTATATAATGGCCAATTCTTAAAGTTTTTTTTCACACTCTTAAATGAATCATTGAAAACAGAAAGTGCCAAAGAATGAGAAAAAGATAGAAGCATTTGGAATGACTTTGAAAATCCTTAGTTAATTAAGAAACTGAATCCACTAACAAACCTTTCACTTTCTCAGCAGGCTGATTACTACACACTTGTTTTTCTCCAGCAAGGGGGGAAAAAAAAAAAAAAAGACTCAGGGAGGAATAGTTTCACCTTTTGAGAATTTCCAGTTTAGACGGGAGCTAACCTTACTGGAGGACAGAAATCCTACTTATTCTTGAGAGCTAAAAACAAAAGTCTGTTAAGCATAATTTGCAATGTCCCAACTTAAGTAATGTGCACACATACTTTCCCAATTACTTCCATTTCATAACAGCTCTAATTTAAACCCTCATTTTGTTTGCTCATGGTCTTTTTCCATAGCAAAAAAGTTGCAATTTTTAAACCTTCTAATGCCTGAGAAAAGTGTGTGTGTGTGTGTGTGTGTGTATATATATATATATATATATATATAAAATACTTTAATTTCAGAAAGTAAAATTCTCCTAAGAACTAACAGTATCACAATGTAATTAGTATTCCCAACAGCAAGTTTATAAATGCTTGTTCTTTTAATAAATCTTTTTATTATTTAAAATGGTGAGGTCTTTACCAAAGTACAACACAAAAACATTCTTCTCAAGTTTTAGTGTTTTGGGACTACTGTAATCAGATGCTACATTCACAGGGTTACCAGGAACTAATTTATCACCATCAAAAGAGTATTAATCTAACAAAATCGAAGCACAGCAACAAATTAAAAATGAAAAACTCTTTGAAGTTAATGATACTGCCTTGAAGTCAGAAGATTCTAATAATTTTTCCCATGGTCCTTATTGTAGCATCTATAAAAAAAATAAATAAATAACAAAAACACTAGAAGGTAAGGACAAACTGTAAGAAATGGAAATGCAGTGGTAATTACTACATGTGTACATCTGTTCTCATTAATAATGACCATTACTACTTGCTTCATATGTTCAAATGAACTATAAGACAGACATAAAATCAAATTTTTACATCAATATTGCTTACAATAGCTTTTTCTTAGTAATTAAACATCGTCTCACGCAATTTATGATCAATATACAATACTGAATACTTTCAACACGATAAAATTGATGGTAACCCTTTGGTGAGCAATTTAATTTCTCAAGCTATCTTCTATTTATTGTACACTACTTAATCAAGTCATACACACATGCAACATTATTTTTAGCTAGACAATACAATATTAATGTTTGCCCTCTTTTTAAACACAAGGCTTCCATACAGCTGAAAACTCAGACAGCTGGAAGCTAACAGTCATAAGTTCAGAAACAGAAAAGGCGCTAAGAAATAAATCAACTCAATATCATATTTACACAAAGCAAACGGTACTTCCCATTTTCCTCCTCCAAGATGGGAACCAAGAACATAATTCTGGATTGAGATACAGCCCCATTATAGGATTTGAGGAAGATCATCTAAGCTAACTCAAATCCTATAATGGGGCTCTACCTCAATGCAAAATTACGTACTTTGTTCCCAATCAGGCTGGTTTTGTCTTGGATTTTTTAAAAAAAGGGAAATTTCATAAACCAATTCGGTTTAACAGTTATTCTAAGTTAGAAGATAAATGTCAAAATTATAGGTTTAAGCTAAAACAGTTAACTTAATCCTATCTGATGACCACACTTGCATCTCTAATTCTAACTACTTATTTACCAAATAGTCATTTCCATAAAGAGGAGATAAAGCCAAAGCATACAAAAAGAACAAAACACTTTCATCTCTGCTTTTGATTTTAGATTAGTTTCAAGAGTCATCTAAATCACAGCTTTGTGTGGCATGAATTTTAATGGCATCTTTGAGATCAAATCTTAGTTTTATTTGGCACTCAACGTATTACATTCATGAAGCCTAAAGTAGTGTTATGGATTGTATTGTGTCTCTCCAAAATATGTGTTGGACTCCTTTTCCCTACACTTGTTAAGGATTTCATTTTACTTGGATCCATAATAAACACCCAGGGAGAAGAAAAATGACCGTGTTGATTGGGCAAATCTATTGCAAAAGACCTCTTTAAAGTGTTAAAAAACAAAGACGTCACTTTGAAGACTAAGGTGCCACTGACCCAAGTCATGGTATTTGCAATTGCTGCATACGCATGTGAAAGCTGGATAACAAATAAGGAAGACCAAAGATGTATTGATGCCTTTGAATTATGGCATTGGTAAAGAATAAACCAAGGACTACCTAAGGACAAACAAACCTATCTTGGAAGAACTACAGCCAGAAAGTTTCTTAGAAGCAAAGATGGTAAAACTTCAACTCATGTATTCTGGACATGTAATCAGGAAAGATCTGTCTCTGGAGAAAGATATTATGCTTGGTAAAGTAGCAGGTCAGCAAAAAAGAGGAAGACCTTCAATGAGATAGACTGACATAGTGACCACAACAATGGGCTCAAGTATAGTAACAAAATTGTGGGGAAAGTGCAGGAGTGGGCAATGTTCTGTTGTCCATAGGTCACTATGATTTGGAACCAACTTGATGGCAAGTAAGAACATTTCAGTGGATGCAATCTAATATACTGTAATTACATTCCATAATGTAATTTAATCAATCAGTTGAGGTCATTAACAGTTAAGGGTGGATCTTAAATCTCTAACTTCTGAGTTGCATAAAGAGCAACATAAGCATAGAGATCAGCAAGCACTTACTGGGAAAGACATACCAGGTGAAGACCATCTACAAGTCAAAAAACCAAAACCCAACTCACTGCCATCAAGTCAACTCCAACTTACAGTGAATCCTATCAGGTTTCCAAGGTGGTAAATCTTTACAGAAGTAGATTGCCCCATCTTTCTTCTGTAAAGCAGCTAGTGGGTTTGAACTGCCAAACTTCCAGTTAGCAGTCAAATGCCTTGCCACTATGCCACCACAGCGCTTTATCTACAAGTCAAGGAATGAAAAATGTCCAGGGCTACTGACAAGAATGGCATCAATATGGCAGTGACTCTGATTTGGACTCTGAGCCTCCAAAACTGAAAAAAATAAATTTCTGTTCTTTAAAGACAACCACTTGTGGTATTTGTAGTATAGGAGCAGTAGGTAACTATGGTAAGCTGAATGGGTCCTTTACAGAATGTCTCGCTAAAATCTCTCATTTTATGGATAAGAAAATGGAGGCCTAGGCCGAGACTGCTTAACTGATTTGCCTGAGCGAGAGTAGGAGAAATTAGAGAAACTGGTCTAAAGGTAAGTCTCCTAGGTTCTTTCTACACTATTATGTGTCTTCACTAAAAATAAATAGAATTTCAGATAAAAGATCAGGCCAGCACATCATTCTTAGAATTCACCAGGATTAGAGATTATATAGGAACCATCACAATTACAAATTGAAAAACCAGTTAATTCTCTGACTTGAGGTCTTAGAATTTACAGCAGTAATCAGATCATATAACATGCTTCATTCCAAAATTTTTCTTTCAAAACGATGGATTAAGTTCTATTGCCAATGAGTGATGTTTTCAGTGACAGTTGAATATCAGCTCAAATAAATTCTGTGCCATTTGTTAGAACATAATCTGACACAACCATAACTGTTTATAATCTGGATTCTAAAAGGAATTTTTAGCTTCTCTTTTCACTACTTCATGGAAAACAAAATCAAATTATCTAATGAGAGAGAACTCTTTATATATATACCTTTATGTTGAAAGTTAAAAAAAAAAAAAAATACAACTGGCTTGTAAAATGGTCATTACTATCAACAGTAAGCAGTTTCAACATACCCTAGTTAGTAGAAAAAGCCAAAGAATGATGGTAAAGAATTAGTGTTAAGTATGCTTTGGTAGCATAGTGGCTAAGACACTTGCCTGCTAACCAGACGGCTGGCGGTTCAAACCCACCAGCCACTCCTCGGAAGGAAGGTTGGGCAATCCTACTTCCGTAGTGATACTGCCTCGGAAACCCAAGGAGGGGTCACTATGAGTCAGGTTTGACTCGACAGCACATAACAACAACAACAACAACGCTGCAATAAACTTATATGTAAACTGAATACTAAGACATAACTTAATGCCCAAGTAGTGAAGGAACTTTCCAAACGAAAAGCATTAAAAACCCATATATGATGCAAACAGAGCCAAGACAGCGAACACCACATAGCCTACTGCACAGGTTAACATGCACAAATATGAGTGAAGAGTAAGTGCCCATAGGATCTTTGTCATCTCCCCAACTCCTATTTCTAAATAAAGAGGAAGTACAGAGAAATACGAGAAGTGGCAAATTAAGAGGGAAGTAACATCTCCTTCTCTTCTACAGGAAGTAGAACAATATATGAAATTCCATTAAATAGTCAATAGAATTCAACTTTACTCAAAGCAAGCTTACAGTTCAAAATGTTTTCTTACAAAGCAAAAAAAACCACTGAATTTAAGATAATAATTGTTCCTCTAAACATAAAAGCTTCAAAATCTTTTCAATTCAACACTTACCTCCTCTGGGGTGATAACACCTGTTTCCTTAAACTTTGATTCCTAAAAGCAGACAGAATAAAAGAATGTGTTATGAACTTGCACTTTTTAATTAAAAAACATTTGTGGGGCAACTTTTTGCCTAGCACTCTCCAGGCAATGAAGCAGATATAAGGGGGGAAAAAAAAGAATGTAACCCTTGTATTTGACCTGAAGGAACATGCATGTGAAATGGATGAAACTGACATGAAAATAATTACAATAAAATCCATGCTGTAACAGAAGACTGGGTAATCTACTTCTGTAGATATACCAAACTCACTTTCATTGAGGCAGATCCAACTCATAGCAACCCCTCCTTGGGTTTCTGAGGCGGTATCACTACGGAGGGAGATCGCCCAATCTTCCTCCTGAGAAGTGGCTGGTGGGTTTGAACCACGAGCCTTCTGGTTAGCAATCAAATGCCTTAGGCACTATGCTATCAGAGCTGCTTCTGTAGAGATACCACGCTGGAATCCCAAGGAGGGGTCGCTATGAGTCATAATCGACTTGACATCAGTGAGTTTTTTTTTTTTTTTTTTTTCTTAATAATAGGGCAAGTTCTCAGGAGAAGCATGCAAAGGTATATACAAACGTGAAGCCTTACAGTAAGTCTGAAGATGACCAACTGTCTTTATTTTACAACACAGTAAACATGTCTTTAAGATGTTTAGACACAGTACAGTTCAGCCAATGTCTTATTTAAATTGAGTAGTATTAGAAACCAAACTAGAAATCATTTAGCACTTTCCTATTATTCTCATCTCTACCCAAGATATGGATATTATATTCTCTCCTGTAAAGCAAAGATGTTATTTTACTAATTGTTTTCTAATTTTTGTTATATTTAAGATTTTATGGTAGAGTCTACAAAATGAAAAGATTCACTCAAGAAAATCATTCTTTCAACAAATGTTTATTGAGGATCAGTTATGTGTAAGGGACTGTTCCAGGCACTGGGGATACAGCAATAAATAAAACAGACCAAAATTATCCTTATCCTAAGAAGTAGCTCTGGTGGCCTACTAAGTGCCTAAGGCATTTGACATTAACCACAAGGCTGACAGTTCAAATTTACCAGCTACTCCTCCCTCTGAAACCCAAGGAGGGATTGCCAGGAGCCAGAATTGACTTGAGGGCAGTAAGGTTAATTTGGTTTGAACAAGTTGTTTAAGCTCTAGTGGAGGGAAAAACACAACAAACAAAACAAAGTATGCCAAATGGTAATGAACATCATTAAGAAAAATGAAGCAGAGAGGAATGGGGGAAGGAATAGAGATGGCTTTTTAAAATAGGATAGCAGAAGAAAGATTTCACTGACAAAGTGGCATTCGAGAAGAAATCTTAAAGAAAGTAACAAGCCAGAGAAGGTCTGTGGGAAGAGCCTTTCAGCAAAGGGAAGAGCAAAGGTTCTGAGGCAACAGCCTGTTTGACAGTAATACAAAAGTTATGAGCATGGTTTAACAAGGTAAGAGTGGGGACTAGAGGGATCATGCAGAGCTTGATCCCTAAAGACTTTGGTTTTAACTTCAAGTATGTCTTCCAAACAAATAATTAGTTTTCTTTATTTTTACTTGCTAGGGCCTAAGGCACTTGACAGCTAACCAGAAGGCTGGTGGTTCAAATCCACCAGCCACTCCACAGAAGGAAGGTTGGGCAATCTACTTCCATAGTGATACCAGCTCAGAAACCCAAGGAGGGGTCGCTATGAGTTTGGTGTTCTTTTTTTGTTGTTGTTGTTATTTATGTGCCGTCGAGTCGGCCCCGACTTTTTTTTTTTTAAGACACCATTATTTCTTTCCTGACTATTGTGTTTACCTCCTTGCTTTCCCATTTCTAGTAGAAAACTACAAGGATTCTCTCTGTAAGCTAAGAGTTTCCACAGAGGGAGAAGTAAAGGGTCATGAATATCGCTCTCCTTATTACTGACAAGCTAACATCTTCTTTTCCAATTCAACCTTCCCCCTCTCCTCTTGCTCCTCTCTTCCTGAAACTAAGAAGGATAACACTTGATATTATTTAAATGTAGTATACCTAGGTTAACATGCTTTTCTGAAAAGATAAAACATATACAGAGAAAGTATTTGATTCAAGTCAAAATTATTTTCAACTTTAAATAGCCAACTGGGTAATATGAATCAAGATGAGTTTTGCAATAAACAAATATAAGCAGTGCAAAAGTTGGAAATTCTTATAAACTTTCCTGATTTTTTTTTCTTTTAACTTGGTCCAATAGAGTATAATTTTAAAGTCAGTCTCAGAAGTATACAAAAGAACAGACCTAGCATTCCCCTTTGTATTAGAAAGGGAGTAAAACTGTCCACTTTTTTCTTAGCATACCAGCATAAATTCTTGAATAAAGAAAGCCAAATATTTCCAAGAATATTTTATTTCCATAGTAATATTTGTATAGTTTAAAAACTGAAATGCAAAAAAGGAAACAAAAATTTGCCACACATTTCTATCCCTTGCTCTTCAAAAAGAAAAACAAACCCTACAAAACGGTCTGAGTTATTAAACAAATATGTGAATGCACTTCTAGAAATTATTTTTGAACACTGCAAGAAAATTTGTGTCTTAATTTTTACTTTAAAAGTACTGCATTAGTGCCAATGTACAATGTATGTGTGTGTATACACACACACCAGAGTCAAGCTATTCCTTAATATCACTTCAGCAAGTTCAACAACTAATCGTGACTATTTTAAAAGCTTGAAGGAGGTAAGTTTTTCCTTCTTAGCTAAAGATACTAAACGAGATAATGATGCAAATTTCACTTTATTCCTCCAAAACTTAAATTGGGACATCAGTCGCAACCTATTTCATACTTCACTTTTAACTATAAAAGACTTTCCAAGAAAGTTGGAAGAAAAAAGTAACACATGTCATTTTAGGACCAAATGCTGATTTCATTTAAAAAAAAATAACAAAAATCCTCGTTTCCAAAGTTTAAACGACTTCGAATATTATTTTACGTTCTTAAATCTACTTAGCAACCAACCACCTTCCATCCCAAGGTACCCAGACGCACTGAATTCTGACGAGTGGAGAAAGACGCACGCATACAGCGTCGCTAAAAGTTGACCCCTTAGGAGCCAAAAAGCCCTAAAGGACTGCTGAGTTAGACAACGGGTAGGGTCTGCACCTTCTTCTGTGTTCCACCCCTACCACTTCCTACACCCCTGCCAGCCGGAAAACACGGTGACCATTCGGGCGACTGGTACTCGGTCCTTGCAGACTTGAACGTGTGTCTGACAGACCCTGGCAAGCTCAGCCCGGCTTACCTTAAGGACCGGGGTCAGGTACTCAGCCACTTCCAGTGCTTTTCCCTTCACCGTATTAATCACATTCTGCATCCTGGGGCCGGAATAGCGGCCGGCCCCGCGATGGAGTGGGAAAGGCAGCCGGGGGAACTGGGACAGGGACCTGGCAGTCAGAAAATGTCCCCGCTGCCGCCGCCTTGCATCGGCACCCGGTCGCCGCCACCCGATGGCACTGCACGCGACGGGACAGACAGGACGAGGGGGAGGGGCGGCCGGCGTCTCGAGCGAAGACTGGGCGCGCGCTATTGGCGCACACGGCAGCGCGCGGCGGCCTGGGCCCAGCTGTCACCCGGCCGCAAGGGAGGGCAGCGGGGCCCAGGGGAGAGATGGCGGGAGAAGCGGGCGCACGCGCACCCCTTGCCGCTCGGGAACTGTCTTCTCCCCCTTTACTTCGGTCGTGCCACTTCCGGCTTCCCCTTCTTTCTCACTCTCTTGCCGTAGCTCCGCAGCCGCCTGGGCTTCACGTGACTCAGGACATTCCCGACACGTGACGCGAGAAAGGCTTCGCTGGGGCAAGATCAGCCTATTTCTCCCCTCCCTCCGCAGGCGTAACATTGAACGCGCCTGCGCAATGGCCTCAGGGAGTCCACTCTTTCCAAATCGAGACGTTATCTGGCTTTCTGTTCCGGAATAGGTTGCTTGGGGCTAGAGAATTTTTTGTTTCTTTCCCTTCCATAGTTTTCCTGCGTGCGGGCCCTAAAATCTACTGCTGCTACCACGGTGCTAGACAATTACTTTCCCAGGCATAGGATATACGTTCTTCCACTAGAAGTTCCTCTGAGGGACCAAGGTAACCGCACCCCCCAACCAAAGAATTGCGCGTGCGTGTGAAGGGAGGGCGCGCCCGAAATTCCCTACTGCGCATGTGTAGTAAAAAGGGCTTTCCTGACCGGGGAGGAAACCTGCCCTTCGCGTGTGGGGAAGTAGCCTCATCGATGTCTTGTACGCTTGCGCTTAGTTGTAATATCAGTATTGATAGTTAAAGCCTGTCCTCATCTAGCCCCCCATTAGTGCTCTCCATCTCTGCCTATAGACTGGGAAACTTTGGACAAGTTAATCAACGTGCTTGGGGTTTAGTGCCCTCAACATACCAAAAAAGGGTATTAGACTCGTTGATTTTTGAGCTCTCTTCTAACATTGGGTCAGTGAAAATTAGGAGTGTTTCACATATTTCCATTTTGACCTTTATTGTAACAATCTCCCAGCAATGTTTCCTCCTAGAGAAAAGTTGCTACTAAGGAGAAGAATACAAATTCGAAATTCTTTTCTAGAGCAAAGTTACCAATAAGAATGAAACGTAAAGAATTAGTGGGATGAGCACAAATGCTAGGCATTTCAGTAATCAGTTTCTAAATGCAGTAATAGAAATGACTGAAAAGGAATAGTGAGCCAGTTTCCGAATATTGGCTTGCTAAAAGGGGTGATACTACCTCAGAAACAATTACTGCGCTCTGAAATGGCGAGTATTCTTAGATCATGGCAGCAGTTATCAGGAGCTCCTGAAGGTATACATGTGCCATTACAAGGAGTTAGATATATGGACATCATACAGTATCTAAATTAAGGTCATTCTCTGTGACACCAGCTCCTGGATCCCAAATCTGAAAGCCCCACGTAGGTGGCTAAATGATTAGAGCAGGGAATGAAATGGATCTCTTTGGAGGCTCTAAGTGTTGGCCCTTGCCTGAAAACATTGATGTTCAAGAGACTGTAAAAGTGATTTGTACATAGCCTACCCTTTGCCAGTGCTTCTAGGGCCAAACTGGTAAATCGTTTGCAATATAGTTATTTCTGACTCACGGTCATTCTGTGTGTGTCAGAGTAGAACTCTGTTTCATAGGATTTTCAATGGCTGTATTTTCAGAAGCAAATAGCCTGGCCTTTCTTCCACACTGCCGGGGGGAGGGGGGACTTCAAACCTCCAACCTTTTGGTTTGCACTCAACATTATCCATTTGTATTACCCAGGGACCACTGCTTCTAGGGCATGATTTCTCAATTCTGATGCTATTCATATTTAAGTTAGAGAATGCTCCTTAGAAGCAAAGATGACTAGACTTTGTCTTGTTTGCTTTGGGCATGTTATCAGGAGGTTTCAATTCCTAGAGAAGGACATCATACTCAAAGTAAGAGGGTCAGTGAAGAAGAAGAAAACCTCAATGAGATGGAGTGACAAAATGACTGCAACAATGGGTTCAAACATAGCAATGATTGTGAGGATGCCCAGGACTGGGCAGAGTTTCATTCTGTTATACAGAAAGTCTCTATGAGTTGGAATGGTTTCCATGGCACCTAAGAACAACACCATTATTTACTGGGGAGCATCAGATGTCCTGTGCGCTGTAGGATGTTTAGCCACATCCCTGGTCACTATCCACTAGATGCCAGTAGCATCCACCCAATTATGATAACCCAAAATGTCTCCAGACCTTGCCATATGTCCCCTGGGGACCAAATCTACTCCAGTTGAAAACAACTGTTCTAGCAGTTAGTGGTTGATACACTCTCAGTTATGTCCTAGGTCTTTCTTTAGAATGTAGGAAGATTTTCTTTCTCATAGTTACCTTTTTCTTCCAGTGTGGTCCCAAAGTTTCAGTTGCTTATTCACTACCTTTGCCAGCACATCTAATCTGGCTCCGCTTTTTCTGTCACTAGGGTTGACCTTCCTGTCTGATTCTGTCTTTTTCATCTCCTTTCCCCATAGCTTCTCCTGGATTTCGCCACTCTATTGTGATATACTTATAGTCAGACCTATAAAAATTTCTTTTCTGTTCTTCAAAAATTAATTGTTTTTATAGGATTATGCTTAATATTTAGATCTCCTAGCCAGGCTTCACTAATATTCTTGCTTAATTTCTTCTTCTTTTTTTTTTTTTAAATTTTTGTCTTTGAATAATTGCCCATGGAAATGTTGTCTCTAAGACAATTAAAAATCAGTGGAATGGAAAACAAATGCTGTGGTCATCCTATGCTGTGTTCATTGTCAGCAATGTATACATTCCTGCTAGGAGCCATATTCATTGCTTTAAGCTCAAGTCGAATCCTACTGGTGAAATACTCAGCCAATGAAGGTAAGTTAAGAGTTTAAATGTATGTAGGACATTTCCATCTCATCACACATTATCGTGCCTATCTTTAATTAATGTCTCTGTGTATAAAATGATATAATAATATCCTACCAAGTACCCTACTTCATGTAAGTAATGAAGCGTATGAAAATTTTATTCTTTAGACCTTATTCCTTACCAAGAAAAAGTTTGAGGCTAGGGTGAAATTGGGTCAGTCAGCTACAGAATCATAATTTCTTGACACAGATTAGATCATTCAGTTAACCAGTATTTCTGGGCCTGTAACAATATACAAGTATAGCTTATTATGAAAGAAGCAGGATATAGTTGTTTCAACATGGGCGTTTGTGAGGTAGTGGGACAGTGGAATACGACAGATTACCAGCTTTTGATAAATATGTGCTCCAGAAATACTCTTCTTATTTAAAATGTAATAACTTACATTTTGTTGTTGTTTGCCGTCAAGTCAGCCCCGACTCACAGAGGCCCCTCCTTGGGTTTCCGAGGCAGTATCATTATGGAAGTAGGATTGCCCAACCTTCCTTCCGAGGAGTGGCTGGTGGGTTTGAACCGCCAGCCTTCTGGTGAGCAGTCAAGTGCCTTAGGCACTATGCTACCAGAGCTCCTAATTTACATTTAAGCAGATGTAATTTAATACCACAAAACTGAATAGAGTACCTCTTACTCAGGACACATAGAATCATTATATCTTAACTCTTAACAGCCTGCTTGGGGAGTCAAATGTGTATCTAAGTTTCTATTTCAGTTAATATTTATCTGCCAGGCACTGGGTTCAGTATTACTAATAGGACTCAAAGTACTTAAGATAAGAACCTTGCTCTCAAAAACTAGTTTTATTAATGCAGACATACATGTAAACATACCATGAAAAAATAATCACTGCAGTAATAGAAATAGACTGTAAACAAACCTGTTGCCATTGAGTCAATTCTGACTCATAGTGACACTATAAGACAGAGAAGAACCCCAAAGGGTTTCCAATGCTGTGATGTTTACAGAAGCAGACTACCATATCTTTTGCAGAGCGGCTGGTGGTTTCAAGCCACCATCCTTTCAGTTAGCAGCCAGTGCTTTAATCACTGCACATCAGAGCTTCTTAGAAATAAACAGATGATACCAAAGTACTCTAGAGGAGGAAGTGACACACTCTGTTTGAGAGGGATGATGTGGTGATCAGAGACATCAGGGAACACTTCCTCGATTAAATAACAGTTGATCCACAAGAAGACAAGGTAGGTAGAGGTATTTAAAACAGAAGGAACAGATTATAAAAAGAAATAAACCAAAACAAAACCAAACCCACTGCCACCGAGTAAATTCTGACTTATAGCAACCGTATAGGACAGAGTAGAACTGTCTTACAGGGTTTTCAAGGCTGTAAATCTTCACAGAAGCCTCATCTTCTACAGAGCAGCTGGTGGGTTTGAATCACTGACCTTTTCATTGACAGCTGAATGCCTTAATCACTGTGGCACCAGAGCTTCTCATAAAAAAGAGATACAGGCATAAAGAAGTGGGATATGTCTTGAGAACAGGTAGTTTAGAGTTACTGAGCAAAAAGATTAAAGGCATGGAGAAGGTATGCTTGGCTAGGGAGGGATGCAATATTCAGATGCTTCAGGGCTTCGTATGCCAAGGAGTGAACATGGACTACTGTTTTAGGGAGGGATAGAGAAAGTATGGTCCCTAGATGGCACATATAGTTTGCACTTGACCACCTGCCATTCCTTGGAAGGAAGATTGAGCAATCTACCTCTGTAGTGATACCACCTCGGAAACCCAAGGAGGGGTTGCTATGAGTTGGATTGGATTTGACGGCAGTGAGTTTTTCTTATTAACCTAAAGGTTGGCAGTTCGAACCTACCCAGCAGTACTGTGGAAATAAGATCTGGCAGTCTGCTTTCATTAAGATTATAGCCAAGAAAATCCTATGAAGCAGTTCTGCTCTGTAACACATGGGGTCACCGTGAATTGGAATCAACTTGACAGCAATAGGTTGAGAAATATGGTACAGTTTTTTTTTAAAAAAGAAAGATCTGAAAAAGCAGTGTTTTAAAGCTGCCAAAGTTAAGAATATCTCTCCTTTTTTAGCAAGATCATACTTGATTCTTTGAATTATAATAAAACAGAAGTTTCAGGGAACCCTGGTGATGCAGTGGTTAAACGCTTGCTTCAGTTTGCAGTTTGAACTCATCCAGAGCTCCACAAGAGAAAGATGTGACAATCAGCCTTAGAAACCCTACAGAGCAATTCTTTGTTCTATAGGGTCACTAAGAGTCAGAATGGATTCTGGCAGTGGATTTTGTCCTGGTGGTTTTGGCTTTCTACTTTTTATTGAGATCAGCTGATACCAGGTTACTAGGTGGCCCCTGCCTTGACTGCTAAAAATTTGGCCCTCCATTCACTTTGCAGTCATGGGGCTATTTGAGATTTCAATTAGCAGTGCCTAGAGTCTTTTCCTTGAAACTGGAGGTAGTGGTTTGTTGAATATCCATTTCTAGTAGGAAAAGACAAATTTACATTGCTGTAGGGCAGGTTCTTTTTTTGCAGTTTGGGTCAGGCTTTTACCATTACTACTTGATTTTCTGGGTAAGAAAAGTGTTGAAATAAAGGTAAGATGTCTGTTACTAACTTTCTTCTTCAACATGAGAGTGATCAATGTCAAGTATTACTGGAAGATACCAGTGTGATTTAAGTCAAGCTTTGATATTAGAAAAGGAAGGAGGAGATGTTTTAACTAGGCTTTGAATGATGGAGGAGCTTAGTTAAAACATCTCCTGCTCCCTTTTCTAATGTCAAAGCTTGAATTAAATCACACTACTATCTGCCAGTAATACTTGGCATTGATCACTCTAGCCACTCCTCAGAAGGAAAGTTGGGCAATCTACTTCCGTAGTGATACCACCTCATACCACCTCAGAAACCCAAGGAGGGTCACTGAGTCGGATCCAGCTAATGACAGTGAGTTTGGTTATTTTTTTTTTTTTTAAATGATGGAGAAAGTTTAGCAGGCAAATATTTAATTCATTAAATATTTAATTCAGATGAATATTTATTAAGTACCTATTCGGTGCGAGAGGAGCTCCGGTGGCGTAGTGCCTAGGCACTTGACTGCTAACCAGAAGGTTGGTGGTTCAAACCCACCAGCCACCCCTCAGAAGGAAGACTAGGCAATCTACTTCTGTAGTGATACTGCCTCGGAAACGCAAAGAGGGGTTGCTGTGAGCTGGAGATGACTCAATGGCACATAACAAAAACAACAGCAACATTCTGTGCAAGACACTGGTAAATGCCTCTTATATAAAGGGTTTAACTTGGTCCCTTTATCATAAATCCAAAAATCCTCTGGCATCGAGTCATTTCTGATTCATAGCAACCCTGTAAGACAGAAGAGAACTGCTCCATATTGTTCCCAAGCCTTTAATCTTTATGGAAGCAGATTGCCACATCTTTCTTCGGCGGAGCCTCTGGTGAGTTCAAACGGCCAATCTTTCAGTTAGCACCCTAGCGCTTTAACCATTGTGCCACCAAGGTTCCTTCCTTTCTCATAAATAGCTTATAGTCTAAAGGTAAGACAGACACATAAAAAATAACTAATACAATGTAACAAGTACTTTTATTGAGGTTTACAGGTAGTTCTACAGGAACAACAGCAAAAAAATACCAAACTCACTGCCGTTGAGTCGATCCTGACTCAATGACCTCTCCTTGGGTTTCTGAGGCGGTATCTGTACAGAAGTAGATTGTCCAATCTTCCTTCCGAGGACTGGCTGTGGGTTTGAACCGCCAGCCTTCTGGTTAGCAGTCAGACGCCATAGGCACCGTGCCACCAGAGCTCCCCAAAAAAAACTCCCTGACCTCAAGTCAAATCTGACTTGTAATGACCCTTCCTTGGGCTTCCAAGGTGATATCACTATTGAAGTAGATTGCGCAACCTTCTTGCCAAGGAGTGCCTAGTAGGTTTGAACCGCCAGCCTTCTGATTAGCAGTCACATGCCTTAGGCACTAAGCCACCAGAGCTCCCCTCTACAGGAACAAGAATGAATGAAGAATTGAGTCAGCTTAGGTTCAGAAAGTCAGGGGAAACCACAGAAAATAGGAAGAAAGTTTATTCCAAAGAATGTCAGCTTTTTTCTTCCCCCTCCCTTTGTTCTGCTTGTTTCATGTTTTGTAAGATGACCAAGAGAAATAAGCAAATATTTTTCAAAGAGAGAAAGTGTATTCCTGAATATTGGGCCTAATAAAGTCTATGCTTGTCCTTGGCAAAATTAAAAACTAAGTTGTTCATAAACAGAAAAATAAGGTAACTGCTAAGACCAAGCTGCACTGATCAAATCTTGTTTCCTAATTAGATTGACTTGTAAGTTAGCTTCTCAACTTGTGAATGAGCTTGAATGTGCTGAATTATTTCCTCTTAGCCCTAGGGGTAGCCAGAGCCCGGGGTCCATTGCCTCTTGCCTTAAGTAGCTTCCTTTTACCCCAATGTACCTTTTATCCCAGAGTGCCAAAGAACCATTGATATTTTATTTGTGTGCCGTGATATGAAATAAATCAGAAAAGTCTGAGAGAATATTATACTGAGTGTATCTTGATTTTAGCAAGGCAAATGAGTCACACAAGAGCCATGAACTGGGTAATAATTCAGCCAAATATATTCATAACTGGTTGAAGAGCCAGACCCAAAGATTGTTGATTAATGGTCAGTTTAAAAGGCAGTATTTGATGCCATTCCACTTAGCTTTCTTTGCCTGTGGCATTGGCTTCCTCAACATATTTACCGGCAGCTTGGATGAAAATATGAGAGATATGCTGATCAAATCCAAGGATAATAAAAAAGCTTAATGAGATAGGGATAGCTAATACATTAGGTGAATTGATTCAAGATCCAAAAGAGCAGAACCAACTGGATAAGGTTTAATATAACCAATATTGAAATATTAAAAATAATTACATATTATTAACTGTGTAAGCATTATTTAGAGGGAAATTTATAGTTAAAAATAATCATTTCTGTTACATTTCAGAGAACAAATATGATTATCTTCCAACTACTGTGAATGTTTGCTCAGAACTGGTAAAGCTGGTTTTCTGTATGCTTGTGTCATTCTGGGTCATAAAGAAAGGTGAGTCTTGAAATATTGGTATGTATCTGTTAAAAATCAAAATATTTTAGTGCTGAAAGGAACATATATATCATTTAGTCTAGCCCATTAATATTACATATGAGGAATCTAAGATGCAAACAGGATACTGTATTATAGCACTTAGGCATTGCAATTAATATTTGCAGAATATGGCATTTACCAATGTTTTAGTATTTATTATCTAGTGGAGTGCCTACAGCACTTGGGGAGTCCCAAGTATTATTACCCAATATTTTACAAATGGAGAAACAGGATGGGTAGGAAGGTGTAGAGCTTGGACTCCATCCCAGGTTTCCCAGTGTCCTGCCCATTACTCCACCATTTTAATTGTTCCTGTGATGGGTGACACAGCGAGTTTTTATTCCAAATCAGAATCTTCTAAATCACAGCTGTTGGACTTGACTTGCAGCATACTGAAAATCAGTTCCATTTCCTATAGGGGAGATGGTGTAGTGCCCTGGCATCAGAAAGATTATGTTTTGGAGAAGATTATTTAACTTCTTTTAGCTTTAGTTTCTTCAAATATCAAAAGGGATACTAATCCCTTCTGCAAATAATTACATAATATTTGTGAAGTATCAAGCATTTTGTGGAATGTATAAGCTCCTACCACCACTACAAATTGCTGTCAAGTTAATTCCAACTCATGACAATCCCATGTGTGTCAGAGTAGAACTATGCTCCGTGGAGTTTTCAGTGGCTGGTTTTTTGGAAGGAGATCACCAAGCCTTTCTTTCAAGGCACCTCTGGGTGACTTTGAACTTACAACTTTTCAGTTAGCTACTGAACATGCTAACTAGTTGTACCACCCAGGGATTCTGCTTTACCTCATTTTCCCATTTATGGATCCTTTACTCTTTATCACTTTGAACTGCCTTCCCACATGAGGTAAACAGAATTTAGATCATAGAACCTGTGCAGGAAGATGTCTTTTCATACTTAAGGTTGCAATCAGCAAAATTTCTATTTAATAGAATACATTTCTTAATCCTATGAAATTCATGTATTTGCAGGGTTTAAACTAAAATTGCTTGTATTTTCTGTCTTTTCACATTCTCTGTTACAGTACATTTCTCAGTTTTTCTAAATCTGGAAATGGGGCAGTAATTGGTACTAAAATACTAAGAGCTCATTTTCTCTAGTCCCAAAATGGATGTCAGAAGAGACTCTCGAACTTGCTCTTGAAAGGAGAGTAGCTAAAGAAAACAGAAGAAATGACGAAATAAAAGACCTGAACAGAAGATTTCAAAAGGTGGCTGGAGAAGACAAAGTATTATAATGAAATATGCGAAGAACTGGAAGTAGAAAACCAAAAGGGCAGAACATGTTCAGCATTTTCAAGCTGAAAGAAATGAAGAAAAAATTAAAGCCTTGAGTTCAATATTGGAGAATTCTGTGGGCAAAATGTTGAATGATGTAGGAATAATTAAAAAGAAAGGGAAGTAATACAAAGAGTCACTATACCAAAAAGAATTGGTCCATGTTCAGCCATTTCAGGAAGTTGCATATGGTCAAGAACTGATGATATTGAAGGAGGAAGTCCAAGCTATGCTGAAGGTATTGGCAAAAAACAAGGCTTGAGGAATTGATGAAATACTCATTGAGATCTTGCAACAAATGATTGAATGCTGGAGAAGCTCACTTGTCTATGCCAAGAAATTTGTAAGACAGCTACCTGGCCAGCTGACTGTAAGAGATATATATTTGTGCCCATTCCAAAGAAAGGGGATCCAGCAAAATGTGGAAATTAATAATATCATTAATATCACACGCAAGTAAAATTTTGCTGAAAATAATTCAAAAACATTTGCAGCAGTACATCAGCAGAGAACTGCCAGAAATTTGAGCCAGATTTGGAAGAGGATGTGAAACAAGGGATATCATTGCTGATGTATGGATCTTGGCTGAAAGTAAGGAACACCAGAAAGATATTTAGCTGTGTTTTATTGGCTATGGAAAGATATTCAACTGTATGGGTTATAACAAATTATGGACAACAATGTGAAGAATGAGGGTTCAAGAACACGTAATTGTGCTCATGAGGAACGTGTACATAGGCCAGGAGGCTATTTATTGTTCAGACAGAATAAGGGAATACTTCCTGCTTTAAAATCAAGAAAGGAGTTCTTCATGTTTGTATCCTTTCACCATACTTATTCAATCTGTATGCTGACCAAATAATCAGAGAAACTGGACTATATGAATAAGAATGTGGCAGCAGGATTGGAGGAACATGCAATAGGCAGATCACACGACTTTGCTTGCCTTTGGTATAGATTGTACCTCAACATAAAGAAAACAAAAATCCTTACAACTGTAGCAATAAGCTATATCACGATAAATGTAGAAATGATTGACATTGTCAAGGATTTAGTTTTATTTGTATCCACAGTCAACACCCATGGAAGCAGCATTCAAGAAATCAGACAGTGTATTGCATTGTGCAAATCTGTAAAAGACCTCTTTAAAGTGTTAAAGAGCGAAGATGTCACTTTGAAGACTAAGGTGCCACTGACCCAAGCTACGGTATTTTCAGTCACCTCGTATGCATGCGAAAGCTGGACAGTGAATAAGGACAAAAGAAGAATCAATTCATTTGAATGATAGTATTGACAAAGAATTTTGAATATACTATGGACTGCCAGAAGAACAAACAAACGTGGGTTGGAAAAAGTACAGCCATAATGCTCCTTAGAAGCAAGGATGGTGAGACTTTGCCTCTCATACTTTGGTCATGCTGCCAGGAGGGACTAGTCCCTAAAGAAGGATATCATGCTTGGTAAAGTGGATGGTCAGTGAAAAAGAGGAAGACTGTTAACGAAATGAATCAACACAGTGCCTACAACAATGGGCTCAACAATAGTAACAATTGTGAGCATGGTGCACCACCAGGCAGTGTTTTGTTCTGTTGTACATAGGGTCACTATGACTGGAACCTACTTGACGAACCTAATGATATATATGAATTTCCACTTAGCATCTTCCTTTCCTGTATGCTCCCTGGTGGAAAGGGATAGAATGGTAGCATGAAGACTTGATATTTTTTTTTTTATTTTATTTTAACTTGTTGATCTCCTTAGCTTCTGCTTTCAGAGTAGTTAGAGAAACTATAGGTATATCCTGAGTCACCTTAAGTGTTACTTCTGCTATCTCTAATTAGTAGGAAGAAGGAATATGAGTCCTCCTAGACGTGCTGCTGATTGTCAGTGATGAAAAACAGCAGTGGAGTAAAGAAAGACAGTGATAAAATCTTGTACTATCTTTGATTTGTTAAGGTTAATAGTCACTTACACAGGCAGGTTCATAAAGCTTTTAAAGAACTATATCTGTAATCAAATGTAGTTTATTTGCTCTAAAAAATACCTCAAACTGTTAATGTATTGCTGTGTTCCTTTTTTTAGAAGATCATCAAAGTAGAAATTTGAGATGGACTTCCTGGAAGGACTTCTCCAATTTCATGAAGTGGTCCATTCCTGCCTTTCTTTATTTCCTGGATAACTTAATTGTCTTCTATGTCCTATCCTATCTTCAGCCTGTAAGTAAATATGACAAAGAAAGTAACATTGAAATAATGTACAGAAATGAATCTCAGAACTAATCTTCCTTTTCATCATTTTCCTTGGCATTCTTAGTTTTTGTTACCCTGTCTGGGCTTCCTGAGGTTTTCTCAGAATCATCTGAATGTAAAATTAATGATCCACTTGCCAGATTTTCTCACTGTTGAACATTACTATATTAAACTGTGCTGACTGCTCCGGGAGATTACCCATATTGGCCTAAGGAGTCAGAACCACCCCTCTGTGACTTTAATCATTCTGCCTGTTTTTCTAATCATTTCCTGAGCCTTCTGTGGCCGTCAGCCTCTGACATTGACTTCAACATTTAGGACTTTCACCAGACTTCCATGGTTCACTCAGAAAATTATAGATTCTGTGTATTTTCTTTCTTACTTTGTTTTAATGTAGTTTATATGTACTCATAGTTTTGTTTTTCCCTTAATACTATTATTTAATTGATAAGTTCTTTGAAGATAAAGATCATGTTCTACCAAGTACAAATGCCATCTGTAACTCATAATGCTAAGAAATACTTCTTATTACTGTCAGTATCCTTTGTCTCAAATTGGGGAGGCATTAGTAATCAGAAGGAATGTTTGGTCTTCTGCCTTTATTTATTTTTCAGTTTGGGTCATATGTATATTTTCCCCTAATATTCTATAACATCAAGCTGTCTTTTGCCAAAATGTTTTATATTTCTTTAAAAATTGAATTCAGGCATTCTGATTATAAGTAGGTTTTTGTAGGTACTAGTCCTTCATGTCCAGCCACTCCTCGGAAGGAAGGTTGGGCAATCCTACTTCCGTAGTGATACTGCCTCGGAAACCCAAGGAGGGGTCGCTATGAGTCAGGGCTGACTCGACGGCACATAACAACAACAACAACAGTCCTTCATGTGAAGCCTCTTAAATATAGGCAAGTCAGTTTTGGAGTGGGGTGAAAAGGAGAACTTGGTAACATGGTATGATCGACCAGGGTAGCAGAAGACAGGAGTTTCTTTTCCACAACTTAAAAGCTGTGTATCTGGTAAGTCCCAGCTGTTCTAAGTTTCGGTTGTCACATCTATAAAATAGAACAGTTATGCCATATGGGCCCTGGAGCAGTTGATCACCGAAGTTCCTTTTTAGCTCTGTGATCCCAGTTATTAATAAGTGTTTAGTTCTCCTAGACTGTATCCTCCCCTAAATTCTTGTTTACACTTTGTTTTTTCAGATCTAAGAATGCCTGTACACAACAACATACTTACTCAGTCAGTAAGCACATTGAATACATATTTGTTGTATTTTATTTATATTAACACATTAATTCTAAATCAGAACTTTCCTAGGTTTCTGCTCCCAAAGCAAGAGTACCATTTGCTTGTTCTTCCAAGTTATTACTTTGCTCTTCCTTTCTGATTGTGTGCAACCCACAGGTATTACAAAAAATCATTTGGCACACTCTGTTGCTGTTCCCGAGTCCAGTTGGATGGAATTAAATAGAGACACATGGAAAGTTTGGAGCAAAAGCTCTCATGTTTTATTTATTCCATACCACTTGATAAAAGTTTGGATAGAGTGTTCAGAGTTCATCAGGCCAGGTTAGATGCACTCGTACTGCAATTATTGTGATTGATTATGGCCACTGCTTCCCTGCTCTTCAATCAACTTTTTCTTTCCTCATCAATGCTTACTCTGAGTGGAGGCTCATAAGCATTTGCCTGCAGAGAAATGCACTAAGAACACTTGAGAATGTTGATTCCCATAAAAATTCAATAGAAATACAGCAGTATTATATACTTGGAATTGTTAAGAGACATTTAGGGGATTTACTCTCATTTCTTTAATTCTGCTGCATATTAGACATGTTTACTGATAGTGATTATATAAGGCTGTTGATACTCTTTGGGGTTTAATCAACTTACAGTGATAACAAGGAGGAAGGCAATGTGAAATAAATCAGTAGGACTTGTGTGAAATCTAATTATTAATACTTTCAGATCCAGTTATGGGGAACAATGATAGAATTTCATATTTTTTGAGAAAAGTGTATTTATTTGTTCAGATGAATATTCTCATGTGTGACATATGGCTGAACTCATAAAAAAATACCATTATAAAATCTGGCTAACTCATTTCTAAATGTTTAAAGTAACTTAAATAAATCCAAAGAACTGTCAAATAGGCATTTGGCATTGGATCACTTCTATTCTACCAAGAAAATTGATTCTATCCCTAGAATAGGAAAGATGCTTAAAAACCTAAACCTCAATGTTCTTATAGGTGGGCCTTACCGTACCTGCCCTTTGTCTAGCAGTAGAAGTGGCATTAAAAGTCTATAAAGTACATTGAGAACTTGAAAATATATCCTTTGTAAGAGTGACAACTGTTATTTTCAGAGCTAAACCTTTATTTAGCATTTGAGTACCTCTAGGGAGCTCTGGTAGCATAGTGGCTAAGACACTTGCCTGCTAACCAGACGGCTGGCGGTTCAAACCCACCAGCCACTCCTCGGAAGGAAGGTTGGGC